TGAAAATAGTAGTCAGAAAACAACATGGGTACTAGGATTAAAATTAACATATAAAGAGTATACTCAGAGGTTTCTGCCCTGACTAAAGAGGGGTCTCTGAGCTCTAATCTTCTAGAAGAGGGAAAAGGGATAAATCTAAATTGTACTATTACTGAGGTTAAAAACAAACCAGCTGCCTTAGTCTAACTGCTCCTGATGTTGATATCAGGGAGCAGTTTTTCCTGTGGGCCCTCACAGAAAATTACTATCTAATGTAATAAACAACCCTCTAAACTCATCCTTCCGGTAAACATTCAATGGATTTTATAGGGCTGTTTCTTATAATGCACCTCCATAAAGGTTGATGGCTTCTTACCAGAACTTAATGCGATAAGAAGACGTTCACAGAGTACTGAAAGACGAAGTCCAGGGCCAGCTTTATGGTGGTCTGGTTTAATCCAACAATAGATTTTAGAGTATCCAGGAGAGGAGTTTGGGCAAGAAAACTGAAAGGTGTGTATATGTGTGTTGTATTTTTTTCTATAGGTTGCTGATAGCACAATTAGCCTTCTCAGTGAGAACTCAAGAAGAACTTAGTCTGGGCATTGGTTACTCATGCCTGTAATCTTAACTACTCAGGAGGAAGACCTGAGGATAGAGGTTTAAAGCTAGCCCCCTCAGGGAAGTCTCAGGGACTCTTACCTCCAGTTAACAAGCAAAAGGCAGTAAGTAGAAATGTGGCTCAAGTGGTAAAGTACCAGTCTTGAGCAAACAAACTAAAGGAGAGTACTAGGACCTGTATGTGTGTGTGAGAGAGACACACACACATAGACAGACACACAGACACACAGACAGACAGACAGACACACAAACAGAAAGAAAGACACACACACAGAGACAAATAGAGAGACAGACAGAGAGATGGGGGGAGGTGGTCAGAAGAGAGCATGTAAAATGTTTCCTCAGTCAAGGTCTGCAAAGGTTTCTGAGCAAGAGAGCTGTGGTTAGAGAGAGGAAACAGTTCTGTTAGCTAGTTCACTGCAGAGCCATAGGCTTTGGCAGTCAGCTAAGCCAAGCGTGGGATTGATTTCCTATTTTTGAAAATTCTACTTTATAAGGCCTTCTACTAAGAGTGCCATTTAGCAAGGCCAAAAATCCTCTCTTCAGGAAGAAAGTTGGCCTTTATTCTAACACAGAGACAAAATGGACAGTAAGATAAATTATATGTAATTTAAAATTAAACCAAAAATTAAACAATAAAAGAATCTTTCATTTTAAAGATATAATCATTCGATAACTTTGTTTCTAATCCCTACTTGTCATAACTACATCTTAATCTAAACTTAATTTTACTTCCTGACCAATGTAGATTCCTACTTTTGTTTTGGTTTGCTTTTTTGGAGAATGGGTCTCACTATGTAGCTGAAAATGGCCTAGAACTCACCATCCTCCTCTTTCAGCTTCCTGACTGCTAGGATTACAAGTATGTTCCACGGGCTGAGGACATAATTCAGCTAACAGAGTACTTGCCTGGCTTGCAAAAGGCCCTGGCTTCCATCCCCAGTACCACATGGAAACAAACATGCACCATCAGACCAGATGATTTCTACTTTTTAATTCACCCTTGAATATATGTTGGCAATAGAACCCGTATGAAACCAGCAGAAGTTTCTGGAACCTTCTACCTTGTTGGGTATTCAAAAATCTTTTGGGTTCTTACAGTGGATAGTTTTCGCTCTGCTTTGCCCAAGGGAGTATAATTTGCCATCTGAGGCTGTTTGGGAAAATTAAAGGGCTCTCAGTTTGCCCCATAGGCCTTCCTGTTGAATAGGAAGACAAGCTTCTTCCTATTCCTCTGCCTTGTGCCTCATTTACTAAGAGAGGAGAGAGTACATGCACCCATATTAACAATTTGAAACTCACATCACTTTTTCCAGTAAAAGGAGTCACTTCCTCTTTCAACCAAACTAATGGGATGGGGTAAGGGAAAAAAAAATTCCCTTCGGAAAGTAATCACCAATCCTAGGTTAAGTAATGCTTTTATTTTAAAGTAATACCATTTTCCTAGCCTCTGAAATTGTCTTCAGTCTTATAAACTGCTTTGATAAGAAAGTTTTCTTAGAACAACTTCCTTTCTAAACTTGTCTGTCTACTTGCAGAGGCATTTTAAAAGATATAATTCAAATAGAAAACATCTGCTTTTAAGAGATAGCCTTAAAATGCTTCTACCATGTTTGGAAAGATATTAGAATATCCATCCCTTACTACAGAATTCCAGGTTTTAAAAAAGAATCCTAGCCGGGTGCCAGTGGCTCACTCCTGTAATCCTAGCTATTCCATAGGCTGAGATTGCAGTTCAAAGCCAGCCAGGGCAGGAAAGTTTGTGAGACTATTATCTCCAATTAACTATCAAAATGCCAGAAATGGAGCTGTGGCTCAAGTGGTAGAGCACTAGCTTTTAGCAAAAAAGCTCAAGGACAAAAACTCAGGCACAGCACACACAACAAAAACCTTCTTCTAGATTCTCTACAGTGTTCCGTAATTGCTATGAACCCATAAAGAAAGAGAGATGAACACAGTCAAAATATTAATATTTTTCCAATGTCACACAGTATGTTCATCTTTGATTTTAGCATAAATCCAGCTCCTGAAACTATTTTGGAATGCTACTTTAGTTATTCACATATAGGAACCTTTTCATTTCTTTTTATTTCTTGAAGGCACTTTAGAACTATGCTAGTTTTGTAACTAATATGTCTTCAAAAACACAATTCTATGCTTTTTATTAGTGCAAGTAAGATAACCAGGTGTTAATTAGAACAATATAAAAGACTCCTCCCCCTTGAGATTTATGTGCTTTTCATTCATTTATTCCTTTCTACTTTTGTCCTGTTTTTAAACATTTATTGAGCATCTACTTCCTGTGAAGCAGTGTTTTTAGTGACTGGACAAAGATCAACAAAAGGGACAAGATTTCTTTCTCCCTAGAACATAAAGTCCAGTTAGGGAGAAAGACATTCCATTAATTACTTGGGAAACAGATTTAATTAAACAGCACAGAGTGAACCCTAATGTAAGCTATGAAATTTAATTAATAAATAACATATTAACAATGGTTCCTTAATTGTAACAAATTGTACCAAATGCAAGCTATTAAAAATGAGGAGAACTGTAAGAGTAGGGGGGTACATTTTTCATAAATTTAAAACTTTTCTAAAAATTAGTCTCTTAATTTAAAAAATTAAATTGATGTAAAAGATAAATCACTGAAAAGGACACAAGCAGGACACAACTAGAAAGAATAGTGTGTGTGTGTGTGTGTGTGTGTGGAGGGTGTAACATAATTTAGAATGGAGAATAAGGAAAGACTTTTCCCAAGTGTTACAAGGCCAGAACTAGAGGATAAGTAAGGGCTAGGTAGGCAAAGTTTGTTCAGTAAAGCAAAGTGATACAATTGGAATTGCCTTTGGAAATAACCATTTTGACTTTTCTGTGGGAAAAGAAGTTAGGAAGCATGTAGAATGGATCCTAGCCTTTGCTTCCCATTTTACAAAGTACTAGAATTGCACAGTGGCAGTGGATGGATGGTTCCTTTGGTCAGCCTATGAGAGAAATCCTGGGGTTCTTCAAGAGTTGTGTGGTAGAAAAGGAGACTTTGTGGTTAGTGCCATAGGGTTCCCAGGTCTCAGTTCCCATCGTCTTTCTTGTGGTTCCTTGGGTTTATGGGATTAGGAACAATTGTATATGTGTGTGTTTGAATCTACAACCAAAATAAGAAGAAAATGAAAAAAGGGGAAAACAACCTTCAATTACCATCTAGCCATAGTGATAGATTTTCATAGAAGTCTGTGTAATATTTAATTTGCAAAAGTTATTCCTATTGCCAGATTGTTGTAAAATTTGTTTTTGTTCTTTTAAGACTATAATCTGAAAAAAATTGCTCTGAGTCAACAAAGAATATCCTTTAAAAAGGTCCATTTCAGCAAGGCATTGTTTTATTACATCAGTATTGAATGGTTTCGTATCAGAGTTCTTACGGGCAGTGAACTGTCAAGGAAAAGTATTCTACTGGGTAAAAGGAAGCATCTTTCCGGAGAGATTTCTATTGATTCTGGAATTGTTATTAGTATCATGGAAACTTGAATAGCTCAAGGTTCTGTTTCCATTTAAAATTAAACAGTTCTGCATTACCCACTTCACTATTTGTAATTTTTTATCTGCCTATAAGTATGTGCACCCAAGATTTACCAAGCATCAATTATTTTTGTGCATTTCCTTTAGAGTAGAAAAATTGTATAAGCTGGTTGTAATTGTATAAGGTGGTTAGATAAATATTGAAAAATTTTTAGGAAGTAAGGATGCATTTTATAATACTGAGCTGTACATACAAAATGGTTAATATAATCCATTTATACTCCTCTCTAAAGTTGGCTATTATTTTTTGTATTCTTGGAAACCCAAAGACTGGGTAAGAACACCCCTGCCACACACACACACACACACACACACACACACACACACACACACACACACAGGCTTGAGCAGATCCGTTGTTTATTTTAGGAACTAGACACACATCATTAGTGTACGGTTAAGTAGTCTAGTTATGAATATGGAATAAATGGATAAAATGAAGTTTTCCACTCTGATGTCTCCATTAAGAAGCTCCTCTTTGTGTAAAATACTCCATGGAAAGTTGCTTCTATTTAAAGTAGTGAGTTTGATCTTGGCTTTGATCTAAACCTTTTGATCTTGAAAGAAGGATGGAGTAGCAATAAAGAGGGGGCAAGACAGATTTTCTTTAAAGAAATGCGATAAAGTTAAAGGGTTGGTCAAAATCAGCAAGGCAAGTACTACCCAACTCCCCTTCCCGGCCCTTGCTGGCAGCTAGTTCGACAACTTCTGATGCGGATGGGAAGAAAGCCCTTAGGGGGTTGGAGAAAAACTTGAGGGAGCGCACAGTTGGTAAACTATGTGGAAAACGTTCGGCCTCATTATGAACACGGATTGATCCTTTTTAGAACAGTCGCTTTGGCGGTCCACCGCGGCTGAAGGGCTGCAGGTCTGCACTGGCGCAGGCCGGTGCAGTGCGGGCTGTCTGTCTGTGATTCCCGCGCGCGCCCGGGATAGCTTTTACGCACAGGCGGTCTCCCTCCCCGGAGGTCACCTGTCACCACTTGGGAGTCCTGGGGACGCTGAAAAAGGTCTACTTAATGGCGTCTAATCGGTTCCCCGCGAACACTCCAGTAAGAAAGTTCCTTTTCCTGCGCCAAAGCCAAGGAGCCACTTAGGTTTCTGACCTGAGACGCAAGTACAGGCCTCCCTCGGGAGACGGGGCTGTGGGTGGCATCTCTGCAGAGTACTTCGGGGGGCCCCTACGGCCGGCCGTCGAAGAGAGCCTTTCGTGGGTACCCCGGTACCTACGACAGGGGGTTGAATAGGTGAAGCGCGCACCCCGAGGCCTGTCCCCACGCGGCCTGGGGCGGGATCGAGGCCACCGAAGAACGCCTGGAGAGTGGTTAAAAAGATGTTTCCAAGGAGAACAATAAAAGAGCCGGGCGCGGGGCGGGGGCGACCTGCGGGAGGGCGGTGCGGCGGCCTATACCTTTAAGGCAGGCCCC